AGCCTTGGACTAGATTATACCATCTCCAGGAGAGCTAGGATGTGATCGTGAAAGAACTGCATCAATGGGCAACCCCAGCAGCAATGTTACCAACTAACCACATATGCTGCCTTTGAGAATGTGGGGCAGCTTCTCATCATACTTGTACAGAACAAACAAAAAAATAAAATTTCTTGACATTCCAATGCCATTTTAACCTGCTCCATTGTTCCTCTGGAACAGCACTGACCATGTCTGTGGCCCACAGTCTCTGAATCCTGCCCTCCAAATGCTTTGTTGCTGAGGTTTAAAAAAAAAAAAAAAAAAAGCCTATATGATACAGAATCTGCTCCTGCTAACTGGTGAAGTTGCTGTCTTCTCTAAATGCTTATTACTGCAACCTTTTCTCACACTGAGTAATACTTGTGGGAGTAGTCCCACTGAAGTTGATGGGACTACTCACACAAGTGAATGTTACTCAATGTCAAAGTCGTAGAATTAGTCCATAAGTGATTTACTGGATGATTAATGGTGAGCTTTCTAATTTGAAGTGAATTAGGATCTGTAGCACAGATTTGATTCTTAGCAGTTCATCTGAAGAGTTTTCTGTGGAGAACACATTTGACCAACTGGTCAATAGCCTTGCATCCTACATCAATCTGGAGACTGATTCTCCACTGCCTTGCCCCTGTGTAGTCTTTTACATCTATGAAGCGCGTGCAAAACAGGCATCAAACACTACTAAGACCTCTACTTTGCATAAGTGTAAATGACTAAACTGATTGGAAGGCAGCAGGGAATCAAGCCCAAGGTATGATGGTCCACATATACTACAGTGATGGCATCTCTCTTCTGGCTGAAAAAAAATGCTATTTTTAAATTTAAGAGGTTATTATTCTGTGTGTGTCATACCTACTGCAAGAAAACTAGTTTGCAGAGATATTTTCAATTTAGTTTTAAATACTGTGAAGCCTGTGGTCTTTCTCACCTCTTGTGGCAGAGAGTTCCATGCCTAGGTCCAGATCCTGCGAAAATTCTGTAGTTGCTGCTCATGAATCTCTTACTATCAAGCAATAGTGTCACTAGGTGTGGTAGTACAGAGAAGTGATCTTTCAGGCCCTGATTCAGGACAGCACTTAAACATATGCTTGACTCCCATTGATGCTTTCCTGAATTGAGGCCTTAAGTAGTCTGAGCTTATCCCACACAGGACTTGAAAGCCAGGATGAAGACCAGGACTCCTAACAGATCAAGATTGGCCAGTGGCCCAAAGGGAGTAAATACAACAACCCCTTCTAATGGTTAAGGCCTCAAAATTGAGAGTTATTATTACTTAAGAACTGTGTTGGCATCGAGGCTTTATAGAAAAGACAAGACAGAGAGCTCAGAGAATAAAAAAACAATTCTTAATGGCAAGGTTTCTTCACTTTCCAAATAGCCTAAGGAAACTCATAGTTTCAGCAGCCTTTCACAAGGGTACTGTTGACACAGCAAAAGAGACTTCCTTTTTCCCCCGTGTGTGAAATAATGAATTGGAATATAGCTATCAAATATTAAGATAGTGAGAGGACTATCTGATTAGATGATGAGAGGACTACTCTCATTTTGACTGAATATTTCAAATCTTTGGCAGAAGTATGGGTCATCATCTAATTGGTCCACAGCAGCACTCCAACCAGAGGAGCCAAGTTGGACCACCCAACAGGAATGGGATAAAATGGCTCCTTCAACGCATCACTTCCTGAAAGCTGAAGACACCTGGAAGGTAGAAGACTGAGCTGGCCACCTAAGTACTTGATGTCATCGGCTACCTTGGATAGGCACATTTAACTGTCTTTTATTTTCCAGGAATTCAGATTGCCTGCTAGCACATCAGGACAAGACTATAGTCATGTCCATTCTTTGCTCCGCCTGTATTTGCAGCATCAACTCCTGTGGTGAATAGTGACTGAGCTGAAAACTGACAGCTGAGCAAAGATCTGTTGATAAGTAACACACACTTTCTCTTGGTGACAACCCAAATCACTCAATTGACTACTTCCTGAAACTGGGTACTTAATTAGTAAGGGCATTTCCATGTTTGCGTATGTGCTTTAAAGACTGTCACAGAGTTAGGCTTTGTCTACACTGACAATTGAACGACAAAACTTTAGTCTTTCAGAGGTGTTAACCTGAAAGACAAAAGTTTTGCCATAACAAGTGCCAGTGTGAACAGCGCGTTGTCGGCGGGAGCGCTCTCCTGCCAACACCACAAACGCTGCTTGTTGGGGATGGGAGTTTTTTGTCGGCAGGAGAGCCGACAAACAGCAGCTATACTGCTTGACTTTTAGCGGCACGGCAGTGGTGATACAGCCATGTCGCTAAAACTTGTGTAATGTAGACAAAGCATTAGTATGTGTTCTTGTTTTGTAATAGGTTCCAATCAAAATAGTTGTAAAATAGCTTTGAAATTGAACAAGTTACTGTTGCTAACTAGGATTGTGAAACAGTCTGCATGTGTCTATTATAGTTAGCTTTGAAAAAGATTAGCTTTGTATTGGTAAATGTCAATAAACGTTGATTTCATCGTACTTGCAAAGTGACAATATTTCCATTGATGACTGAAATTTACAGAAAGGCAAAGTAAGAAAATTCTGCTTGAAATTATTAGCTTGATTTAAGACTATTTACTTTGTATGTTTTGACATATGATGTGGACATTTGTTTTAATCGTTACAAAGCTTTAATTTTTTTAAATCTCAATATCACTAAATAAGCGTGACCAACCCACAATTTTCTGCAATTGTGAAAATTTAAATAAAAATAGGAAAAAAAATTAACCCAATTTCCCACAGCTGTGAAAATTTAAATTGATAATAAAAAATGCTTAACAAGCATGTTATCCATCAAAATTATAAAAAAATAAAAATTGAATTCAGCCAAGCATAACTTCAGTTAATGATTTCACACTGGCTTTCAAGTTTTAAGTGTATACAAATGTAAAAGGAGATCACATATGAAAGTAGTTTGTTAGTTAGGAGTGTTAATAAGATCCTGGTGCTAATATAATTTATGTGGAAGCAGGTTAAGAGCTGAATACTATAGATCTGTTGGGAAGGAGACCTGGGGAGAGGAGGGGAGTGGTGTGCAAGTAATTGACCAAATTGTCTTGTTTTAACTTTGGGTGGTGGTTCCTCTGTGGTAACACCTCCCAGTTGATAACCAATTGGCAAAAGTCAAAAGGGACTGAGTCAAAATCTAAACAGTCACCTTCCCAAGACAGTGATTGAGTATCATTGTTTTTCATTGTGTTGATTCTCAAAACCTGGATGGTTATTGTATTAATCAATTTTCTAGCCAGTGTTAGTAAAATCATAGTCCATTACTACTTTTACCTTATATCCTATACTATTAGTTGATATTGTTAAGGACAGTTACTAAAACTCTATAAAACCTGTTGAGTTGGTTTTTCTTTAGTTAAATAACTGAAATTCAAATAATCCTAAGAAAAGCAGTACAGGTAATCAGTTTACTTAATTAAGATTTGTTTTATACCTTATCTTTCTGACACCCTTTACATAATGCTGTTTGTGACTTAAGGCTTAGCTACGTCTACAATGCAGAGCCTGTGCCAGCACAACTATGCCACCAGAGCCCCCTAGTGCAGAAGCAGCATACAGTGAAAGGAGTTTTTCTGCTGGTGCAGGAACATCTTGTCCCCAAATGATGTTTGTTTCTGTTGGCATAGCTATCTTCTGTTGGCATTGCAGTGTCTACATTGGTGGTTATGCTGGCATAGCTATGTCTCTAGGGGGCTTGGGGTTTCTCACACCCCTGACTAAAAACTTCTTATGGCATAACTGTGTAAGTGTAGGACCAAACTTTAGGTTGCGATTCAGTAATTTAATATGGGCAGATAGATTCCTACATCCGAGAAGAGCCCCACAAGTCACTGCATGGAGCACTCTGCATAGGAGAAGGGCCAAAACTGTATATTTGTAAGTAATCACCTGAGATGAAAGAGTATCTCGTTGTCCTCTTTAAAAAATTTAAAAGAAAAAGTCACTATTTTTAAACAACCACTAACAGCATAAAACAGACTGACTAAGATTTTTAGAAGTGGGTGCCTAAACTTAAGTTAAATACATGGTTAAATGTTCAAAAACTGAATGCCTAGAAACTCCCCTTGACTTCAGTGGGAGCTTCTGTGCTCATTTGAAAATCTAGTCATTTATTTAGGGCTTGGATCTTCAAAGGAGTCTAAGGGTTTGTCTACATAGTACATTATTGCCCACCAGCTAGGGTGTAAATTCTAGCATGCATAAGTGAGTTGTGCACTAACTGACATGTGGACCCTGCTGCATGTTGACATAGTCGTGTTTCAAGTAGGACTCTGTCAATGTGCTCTAGGTAACTTTTAGTGCACGCAGCAGGGTCCAAACAGACAGTTCGTGTGCAACATCCTGGTGCACACTAGAATTTACATGCTTGCTGGTTCTACACTAATGTACAGTGTAGACAAGCCCTAAAGGGAAGATTCACGAAGGAGACTTAGGCTCAGTGTTGCAACACCCGACTAGGTGCCCTGGCGCCTGATGGAATCACACCACCACCACCAGCTGTGTTTTGTATGGAGCCCAATCTAGTAGGCATCCTCTAAGGTGGCCTCTGAGCACTACAACTGCATCAGCGAGTTAGGCAGGGGAATGCCTAGTTTGTGAATCCTGCCAGGGCTTAGGTGTTGAGTGTCAAAATTTGAGCATGGGCACTGCTGCCTACCAGCAAAAATTTAGGTGCCTAGCAAATTTAGGCACCTACAGGGTTTGGCAGCAGCTAAGCAGAGGTTTTGAGGATCTAAATATTGGACTTAGGTACCTGAAGCAGCAGTTAAGCACCTAAATCCCTTTGTGGACCTAGCCTTAAGTGCCCGTATGTGGATTTAAGATCCCGACTTTAGGTACCCACTTTGAAAAAGGAATGCTCAATTATCAGTATCATATGCAGACATAGCTACACAACACAATTTGTAAAAATCTGAACATCTTAAATCACTTTATTTAGTAAAGATAAAAGACATTTTGAAACATTCTTAATTGGACTGAGCAGATTTACACATGAATTGAAATGTGTGGATTAAAAATTTGATATGTCAAAAGAAACACTGAAAAACAGGCGAGGAAATACATGGTTTACAGCTCTTGTTCATTTACTCAGATTATTTCTAACTCATCAGTGGAACTTGGCTTTTGTGTAAGCTTTCCATACAAAATTGTAGTTTACTTGCCAGAATTTCCTCTCTCCACCAGCAACAGGTATATATGCTATGTTTTCAGTGTGACAGCACTGCTAATGGTTAACAGTCACCTTTACAAATTTGCATAATATCGATCCCGGTTCTGAAAGTTTCTGTAAGCATACTTGGCATCTGATTTACTGTGTGGGACTCTTCCAAATGGTTCATGATCATTGAAACAGGAGTCAAAAACTCCATCCACAGCTTTTTCTGCTGTTTCTTTGCTAACTTTTCTAACAGCCAAAATGGAGCGAATGGCTCTGTCTCGTACACAGGTCTAAGAGAAATGGAGAAAAAAATTGTAGTTACGATTTGAGGATTTAAGGTCACAAGTTACAAACCCTTTTGTACAGATCTATCCAAATGTTAGTTCCTACTGCACGTGCATCAACATAAAGGTTACCGTTAATTATGTATCACAGAAAACTGACACCATTCCAAATACAGTAACTCCCCACTTAACGTCCTCTCGCTTAACGTTGTTTCGATCTTGCGTCCCTGCTCAATTACAGAACATGCTCCATTTAAAGTTGTTCAATGCTTCGCTATAATGTCGTTTGGCTGCCTGCTTTGTCCACAGCTGGCAGCCCCCCCCGCCCCATCAGCTCCCCTACGCCCCCCCGCCCCCTCCCAATGCCTCATGCCTGCCAGCAGACCCTGCAGATCAGCACTTTCCCCCTTCTCCCCCCGCCTCCTGCCCGCGGCAATCAGCTGGCTTGAGGCGTTCAGGAGGGAGAGGGAAGGAGCGAGGACTCAGCACGCACGCTGCAAACCAGCTCATTGCCATGGGCAGGAGGCAGGGGAGGGAGGGGGGAGCCTGCGCGCCAAGTCCTCGCTCCTCCCCACTCCCTCCTGAACACTGCAAGCGAGCTGATTGCTGCGGGCAGGAGGCAGGGGAGGGAGGGGGGAGGAGAGAGGACGCGGCATGCAGAGTAAAAGGGGAGGAGGAGGCAGGAAGAAGAGGCGGGTTAAGGGTGGGGGTTTGGGGAAAGGGGTGGCATGGGCGTGGGCGGGCCGAGGGTTGAGTCTCCCGCCCGTGGTGCTTGCAGAGTAGGGAAAGCTGCCACTGCTGCTGCGCAACGTGCTTCTCCTATCCTATAGCATCTTCAGCCTCCTTGCCTGCCTCATTGTCTCCAGTGCCAGTGGGCTGTGCCTGTGTGGGGTAAGGCGGGGGCACCTCCCAACTATAGTACTGTACGGCAAAAAAAAAATTTCCATGGAACCTAACCCCCCAATTTACATTAATTCTTATGGGGAAATTGGATTCGCTTAACATAGTTTCCCTTAAAGTCACATTTTTCAGGAACATAACTACAACGTTAAGCGAGGAGTTACTGTAGACAGATCTTAAAAACAAACTTGTGATCATTTAAATATATTTTTCTTCAATCTAAAATTAACTATTTAATGTTCATTATACACCTAAATCTTCATGTAATAAGAAGAAATGCTATTTTTCTTTGACTAGCAATAATTCAAATGCAGTTTAAAACTCTGGCTTTATGAAAAAAAAAAAAGTGTACAACTTAGACATTCACACAAGAGAAAATCTGCTCAAAGTTGAACAGCCACGTGTCAGTTAGCCTTTTTCAACTATCATAAAATAGAAGATCTAAAGGAATCGACTCCTCTGCCATCGCTCTCCCCTCATGTGGTTCTTTTCCTTGATCCCACCTTTCTGTAGCAACTGCTACCTATTGGGCTTTTCCTCTTAAAAAAAGAAAAAGATACACAAGATCCCCAAGCCACCGTCAGTAATTGCTGCTCTAGGTCAGCCAGGAATAGATTATTCAAATTCAGTCCAGTAATCTGTACTTAAGTAAGAGTCCCACTGAAGTCTAGGGGAGCCTTTCCTGAGTAAGGGGCTGCATGTCTGACTCTATACTATATTTATATTCTGAACTGGCTTTAGTTTATTTTTAATCCTTTTGAGTCTTTCCATACATAGCAACTCAGAAGACACTTCTGGTCAACCCAAGTCATTCTTGTTCTGTTCTTACTGACTACCTACTGTAATTAATGTATTAAGCAGTAGTTGGAGCTGGAAGAACCACAAGCCCCTAATTTAGCCTTTTTTTAAAAATGCATTGGTTCTACCAATGCAAATATCTTTTTTTTTTTGGGGTGGGAATTTTTCTTCTAAAAATGTAACCCTTTTAAAAGTGTGTTCTTCTCCTTTCAGTTTTGTCCTTCATTGAGAGCCCTTCCATCTTCAATGGCACAGCTCTGGAATCTGTTTTCAGGGCCAGATGCTCCCTACCCAAATTAGAATGATAGAGGAAAAGAAAAGCTGGTAGAAAATGGACAGAGAAGATGCAAAGGTAGCTGAGGGAAGGGAGCAAATCCCTGGTATGTTCCCAACCTCTGACCCAGAGAAGCCTCTTGCACAATCACTGGGTGGTCAGGCCTCCACAGCTCAGGGCATTCCAGGGACTGGAGTAGAGACACAGTAGTATTCCATGCCAGTGAATGTAAAATGATACCAAATGAGAATGCTATAACTTTGCAAAGGTGTAAATGACTAGGCAAAGAGTTGGACAACAGAATCCAGGCTTAATTATAGGGACAACCTGTCCCTGGCAGCTCTCAAAGTAGGATGGAGGGACTCAACAACATATTTGCCTCCCAAACTTTTGGCTGGCTAGAAAGGGAAGGAGCAAGGATAGCAGGAGGGACAGAAAGCAGTCAGGCTGCTGCTTGGTGCAGCAGCATTCAGCCATCTCTCCTCTTCCAGACAGCTGCCATTTAGCTCTTGGACAGAGTAGGAGTCTCACAGGAGCCTACTGCCAGAAGGAGCTGCTCTATCCTGACCAGGCAGGAGAGGCTGCAGCCAGCTCAACTCCATCCCTGCCTGCCTGTGCCCCTCCCCTGAAAGGGCCTGGGAGCAATAGAAGCAGGGGGACAAAGAGGAGTTGTGACGTTGCACCCCATAATACTTTATGGGATATGCTTATGAATGTATATATGACATAACTGGAATATGTTTTATGCTACATATGCCATGTAACATATCTCTGTAAAGGTTATGATCTACTGGTTATGTTCATCCTAGTTGCATGCATGTGTCATTTTTGTACTTGAAGTTATGAATATGGGCTGTATGCTTGTTTAATTTTAAAAAAGCCGCAGTGAAGCAGTTGGTCAGCTTCCTGAGAAAAGACTATTCTCAGTAAGTGCCCAATCAAGACACCAATCCACATCTGACCTTTCACATGAATGTGGCTTGGCTGTTAAGGAACTCAGTCATGCACGGACATGTGACTTGCCCTGTTACTCCAAAACTCCATTTTGTAGCTGGATTCTACACAGGAGGAGGGAGGGGTGTCCACCCACAAGAGAAAGTCATTTAAACCCCTGGGATACCCCTCCATTTTGTCTTCAGCTGGCTCAAGAGATAGCCTCTCCACCCCCAAGGATACCTGAAAGAAACTGGAACAAAGGACAGTAACCACAGGGGGTGTGAGTAATTGCTGGACCCAGACTAGAAGGAGACTAGTCTGCAAAAGGAAGCTTACTGGAACACCTCTGAGGGTGAGGTTTTATCTGTATTCAGTTTTCTTACTGTATTAGGTTTAGACTTGCATGTTTTATTTTATTTTGCTTGGTAATTCACTTTGTTCTGTCTGTTATCACCTGGAATACTTAAATCCTACTTTCTGTATGTAATAAAATCACTTTTTACTTATTAATTAACCCAGAGTATGTATTAATACCTATGGGAGGCAAAGTGCATCTCTCTCTATCAGTGTTATAGAGGGCGAACAATTTATGAGCTTTATACAGGGTAAAACGGATTTATTTGGGGTTTGGACCCCATTGGGAGTTGGGCATCTGAGTGTTAAAGACAGGAACACTTAAGTTGCTTTCAGTTAAGCCCGAAGTTTGTGGGATGTGGTTCAGACCTGGGTCTGGGTTTGTGCTGCTAAGCGTGTCTGGCACAGCCAGACAGGGCTCTGGAATCCCAAGCTGGCAGGGAAAGCAGGGGCAGAAGTAGTCTTGGCACATCAGTTGGCAGCCCCAAGGGGGTTTCTGTGATCCAACCCATCACAGGAGTCACTACCAATCAGGCTTCCATCCAGTAGCAATTTCTTCTCTCCCTCCTCCTTAGGAGACATATATAAGGAAGGAGAGGAGCCAGGTACAAGGAGAAACTGCAAAGAGGACAATGAATGGAGGAGACACTGGAGGCACGTCTGTATTAAAAACTTAAGTCAACCTATGTGAGGTGGACTTACAGCCACTGCAGTAACTACTGTTGTGGTTCATGTCCACACTATCCTCCTTCCGTCAGTGGTGTGCATCCTCACAAGGAGTGCTTCCACTTACTTATTAAGAAGAGCAGTGTGTGTATGGGGTTGGGTGGGCTCTCAGCTCCGCACGCAGCTCCCCGCCAGGAGCCCAGCTGCCTCCCACCAGCTCCTGGCTCCCCGCCTGGGCTCTCAGCTCCCTGCGCTCTTGGCTCCCCACCAGGATCCCAGGGCGCCCCCCTCCCCATGGCTCTCAGCTCCCCACTCCTCCGTGCAGTCAGGCTCCCCAGCGGAACCATGAAATTGACAAGAATGAGAGCCAACACCTCAGATACAGGGGTGAGCTAAGGGAGGTGGGTGGGGAGTTGGGGAGTGTGGAACAGTGGTACGGAGGCAACTTAGACAAACAGAGATGTAGGGATGGCTTGAGGAAGGGGAAGGTAGGGATGGCTTGAGGAAGGGGAAGCTAGGAGAGGCAGAGAGGAAAAGGACTGAAGCCGAGGGAGCTGGAGAGGAAAATGTGGGTTTGGGGGAGTGGGAGGGGAAAGTCAGATATGAATGGGTGGATGGGTAGGTGGGCAATATAAAGTTATACAAAAGATTAAAATGATTTCCAGTCATCTACTCGTTTTCCTGTGGTAAGGTTGTGGCTAGGAATTTAATAGGAAGTGGTATATTGCTTGATGGACTACAATAATAAAGTCCAAAGCCATACGGTACTGTTCCTTAACGTAAGTCAGCATTATCTACAAGGCACAGTCTTCTTTACCTGATGGTGTTGTTTTAATCCAAATTTAAATCTGGTCATTTCATTTATGAGTGAGCAGTCTCCACTGAGATTGGCAGCTCGAATCTATCATGAAAACAAAAGACCACAGAAAATAAATGGAAAAGTCAGAGCATTACAGTAATTCTTAATATAATTAAGTAGTTTCCAGTAGTTTTCTCATAGATTCTCCCTCATTGTGCTGAACTGGGGAAGACTGAACCCTTCTTTGCCCTCTTGGTGTCAGCTATGCCAGGGCATGGTTCATTGACCACCATTTTTTCCCCTGATTTTGCTCTCTCCTGTACTTTTTTGCTTTTTTTCTTTTCACAGTAACCGTTCCCCACCCTCACTTCTATACAAGGCTACATATTGTTCTGGAGGGAATATCCACTGGTGACTCCGGGGGGGCAAGTCACACATGCTCTTGCGGCTGAAATGAGTGATCAGGGAGTAGAGAAGAAAAAATTAGCTCTGTGAGCCATTGCTTGAACTTGAAAACCCTGTGAAATGCTCCTGTTGCCATCTGCATTAGGGGCTGCTAGAAGAGCAAGGAAGGCAGGCAAGTGGCTTTCAAAGAACCACCTGCTGCATTTTCCACAGTAGCAGGAACACAGCTGCATTAAGAGAAGTACAGACGTAGAGACATGCACATTTCTCTACCCCTCAATGTTCTCTTCCTCTGCTTTTCACTTTCCCTCCCTCCTCCAGACTAGTCTGGGGCTTCCCTGGTATGGCCTACCTTCTGCAATGGGAAACACTGCTCTAGTAGTTTAAAAAAAAAAAAAAAAAAAAAAAAAAAAAAAATAAAAAAAACATGTGTAGAAAAAAATAAATCATTGTTTCATAAGAGGAAAAAGCTAGTATTTGTACTGGTGAATTTAAAAAAGATTGAAATGGCAAAAGTTGTTTGGATACAAAAAATGGGCCAAAAAGTACAAGCAAGCAATTCCCAGAAAAGCATGAGCCCAATCTTGTGTTAAATCTTAAGTTCTAATTTTTTACATTCAGCACGTAGACACTTTGATTGGCACTCTATAACTCCCTTAGAGACAAAAAGCAGGTAGGTAGATAATGAAATTTCTGAATTCCAGGGTGGCTTTAATGATTTTGTATATGTGGCTACTGGATACTAATTCAAATTCATTTCTAAGAAGAATTAAAGAAATCGCAGCTGACTTCCACTTAAAGTGCACCTTCTCCAGGTAAAACAAATGCAAACATGATATACAATTTAATGTACCTTTATAAAATCTGACCTTTTTGTAGCAAATTCATTATATTACTTCTCTCATTAGGGCAGATCACTGAATCTGCAGTTTTACAATGAAACCTGTAAGTTTCTGCTATCAACTCCAGATATCATTCTTTACAGTTCCTGGAAAGTATTCCTAAATGTTTTAAACTAAAATGATGGACACCATTTAGCTCTATATATTTACATTATCTTTATTGGCATTGAATAATTTTTTTGTTACAGTGAGGAAATTTTCTACTTTATCAAAATGACAAAGATGACATTTACATGGAAATATACTTCACATATTTCTCGTTCATATTCCAAAATCAACTATTAGTAACCTGTGTAAGTAGCTTAGTTTCGTTTCATAATCCATCAAGTTCTCCATGCTACACAAGCAACTATGTGCCACTCAATAATGATCTGGTAATAACCACTCTCCAGGAAAGGATTAGAGTGTCATGAACAGAGGTTTATGATTATTAAGGCTACAGTCAATGAAATAATAAGTACATATTTTTACAGGAAGAGTCACTTTTGTTAATAATCTTACTTTTGAACTCTAATATACTACTATGAAGGTTATGCAAAATATCAATATTTGTAGAAAAAGGAACTTTATAAATACTGTACTATCACTACACGTTTTTATTCTGTAGCTACTGAAACGTGATAATGTTCATTTAATTACGTATCAGAAGCAGATAAATGTGTATTGTGTATTACATTTGTTTGTTAAACTCCAAAACATACAATTTCAACTTGTACGTTGAACAAATCTGGTCTCTAGATTGAGCCAACAGAAAAAAAAATGAAGAAGGGAGTTATACTGAATTATGTATGGATAGAACAGAATGTTTGGCTTAGCACCAAAACCTCTAATAACCACCAGTAAGTAACACTCAAACTCAAGAAAGAAGCCTACTCATGTGTAACAAGCACGTTGACTTACCTCTGAACAGGCTAAATGTTTGACATTGCTGAACCAGTCAACATGTGCACGACAGTGATCAAAAGCATGAATCAGTTCATGTGTAACTACTCGGTTCATATGGGATTGTTGATGAATATTGTTCTGGCATAGAACTATCTGTAGAACAAAAATATAGGAAGTCTTTAGAAAAAAGTTAAAGGAATTTTCATTGCAAGAGTATACTAGCTTTGAACAGTATTACTGGCTTTCAATTTCTCCCTATCCTGTTGGAATTATTTATGCAGGCAACCACAACAACACTAACTTAACCATAATTCCTTTATTAAATTCAAAGGTCAAATGGTATTTATACAATTGCTCTAAACATGCCTGAAAGCCTAACTAATAAGCCCTTTACTATAACATTTTACAAGCATTTGATCAAGATACTTACAAATGGGCTAAACCCAGGGGTTCTTAGATCCATAATCATACACGTGGAGAACTGGAAGACTTCAGTAGGTTATCTAGTCCAGTCCCCTGTACTTAAAGCAAGACTAAGTAATAACTAGACCATTCCTGACAGATATTCATCTAACCTTAAAAACCTCCAATGATGGATATTGCATAATCTCCCTAGGCAATCTGTTGCAGTGCTTAACTATCCTGATAGTTTGGAACAACCTTTTATGTACCTGAAAACTGTTATCATATCCCCCCCCGGACTTCTTTTCTCCAGACTAAACAAACACAATTTTTTCATTCTTCATTCATAGGTCATGTTTTCTAGACCTTTAATCATTTTTGTTGCGCTCCTCTGGACTTTCTCCAATTTGTCCACATCTTTCCTGAAACGTGACACCAGAACGGGACACAATACTCCAGCTGAAGCCTTATCAGCACAGAATAGAATCGAAGAATTACTTCTTGTTTCTTCATTAGATAGAACACCCTTGCTGATAAATCCCAGTATGATGTTTTCTTCTTCTGCAACAGTGTTACACTGTTGACTCATATTTAGCTTGTAATCCACCTTTCTGCAGTACTCCTTCCTAGGCAGTCATTTCCCATTTTGTATGTGTGCAACTGATTGTTGCTTCTTAAGTGAAGTACTGCAAACTTTAGAAGTGTACTCTCTATGTCATTATCTAAATCATTTATGAAGATATTGAACAGAACTAGACCCAGGAATAATCCCTGTAGGATCGCACTAGATATGCCCTTCCAGCTCGACTGCGAACCACTGATAAACTACTCTCTTGGAACGGTTTTCCAACCAGTTATGCACCCATCTTATAATAGCTCCATCTAGGTCAGAGGTGGGCAAACTACAGCCCGCAGGCCACATCCAGCCTGCCAGCCGATTTAATCTGGCCCTCGAGCTTCTGCTGGGGAGTGGGGTCTAAGGCTTGCTCCGCTCCCGCGCTCCAGGTCGCAGCTCCCGGAAGCAGCGGCATGTCCCCCCTCCAGCTCCTACATTTAGGGGCAGCCAGGGGGCTCCGCGCACTTCCCCTGCCCCAAGCACTGCTCCCGTAGCTCCCATTGGCCGGGAACTGCAGTCAATGGGAGCTGCAGGGGCGGCACCTGAGGACAAGGCAGCACACAGAGCTTCCTGGCCGCGCCTCCGCATAGGAGCCAGAGGTGAGACATGCTGCTGCTTCTGGGAGCTGTTTGAGATAAGCACCGCCCAGAGGCTACACTCTTGAGCCCCTCCCGCGCCGCAAGCCCCTGCCCTGATCCCCCTCCCGCCCTCCGAACCCCTCAATCCCAGCCCACAGCACCCTCCTGCACCCCTCATCCCCAGCCCCACCCCAGAGCCTACACCCCCAGCCGGAGCCCTCATCCCCCATACCCCAGCCTGGAGCCCCCTCCTGCACCCTGAACTCCTCATTTATGGCCCCACCCCAGAGTACGCACCCCCAACCAGAGCCCTCACCCCGTCCTGCTCCCCAACCCCAATTTCGTAAGCATTCATGGCCCGACATACAATTTCCATACCCAGATGTGGCCCTGGGGCCAAAAAGTTTACCCACCCCGATCTAGGTTGTATTTCCCTAGTTTGTTTATGAGGTCATGCGGGACAGTATCAAAAGCATTACTAAAGTCAAGATATACCACATCTACTGCTCCCCCACGACTCACTCTGTCAAAGAAAGCTATTAGGTTGGTCTGACATCGTTTGTTCTTGACAAACCCATGCTGACTGTTACTTATTATCTTTTAGAGGTTTGCAAATTGACTGCTTGATTATTTGCTCCATTATCTTTCCGAGTACTGAACGTAAGCCGACCGGTCTGTAATTCCCCAGGTTGTCCTTATTTTCCTTTTTATAGATTGGCACCACAGAGTTACAAACACCAGAGTTATAAACTGACCAGTCACCCACACAGCTCATTGGGAACTGGAAGTACATAATCAGGCAGCAGCAGAGACCAAAAAACCAAAACCAACCAACCAACCAACCAACCAACCAAACAGCAAGTACAGTACTATATTAAATGTAAATGACTAAAAAAATAAAGGGAAAGTTTAAAAAAAAAAGATTTGACAAAGTAAAGAAACTTTCTGTGCTTGTTTCATTTAAATTAAGATGGTTAAAAGCAGCATTTTTCTTCTGCATAGTAAAGTTTTAAGCTGTATTAAGTCAATGTTCAGTTGTAAACTTTTGAAAGAACAACCATAACATTTTGTTCAGAGTTACGAACAACCTCCATTCCCAAGGTGTTCGTAACTCTGAGGTTCTACTGTATATTTGCCCCCTTCCAATCCTCTGGAATCTCTTCCATCTTTTTTCTAATGGCTCAGATATCGCCTCAGTCAGCTCCTTGAGTATTGGATGTATTCCATCGTATTGGTTGGCTCCAACATGGTCAGGCCTGATTCTGATTATAAATACATGTTCTTGCAAGCTTCTTTTTCACTTTGTAGGGTATTAAAATAGTCAAAAAATCAACGCTCACCTGTGATGTTGCAGAATCAAAACCTCCACTGACACACCCATCACAGTCTTCACAGGCAAAGTGCCGATCGTTATAAACAGTGCTGAAAGGTCAAGAAGTATGAAGTTAGAGGCAAGTTTTAAATAAGATTGCTAAGGATCTCTATAGAAGTCAATATAGAACACACAAGTCAGAGGTTGACCTACCAGCCAGACTGCTTCATAGCATCAAGAAGAAGTTGAGCATATGGACCTAGAAAAACAGTGCTGCAATCAATTTCTCTATACAAAATTTTGTACAAGTAAAGTTCAGTTTTTTATTATATAAGAGAATTACGAAGAGAGATTTATGCAATTAATAATTATATGGTGACAAAGTGACACTGCATCTTAAACTAAGTGCATTGTGACTTTCTTTGGAAAAAGCACTGGATGAAAAAGTCAATTTACAATTGTCCCAATTCAGATTAATAAAAAATGACATTCAAAGCTATACAATGCTCAATTCACTGCAGGGCACACACAGACATTATTTAAATAGCAAATGTTTGTGTAGAGGCCACTACTTCTGAGTCCTGTGGAGTGGAGGTCTGGCCTGACATTACGCTAAAACGTTGGTCGACCTAGCGGTGGCCTCTCAGAGAGGTGGATTTATGACGACGAGAAAAGTCCCTTTCCGATACTGTAGTGAGTGTCTACACTACAGTGCTGTAGCACTTGTACTGTTCACCCAGCCTCAGTGTAGAAAAACGGAGACTAAGTGTAGAGTTAGTATATGCCCTCAATCTACAGAAAAAGGCCTTCTGGGTAAAAAGAACATATAGCAGCCACTTCTGGAAGGTTATTTTCTTAATTTACTTAACCAGAATTAGTGCAGATATGGAAGATGAATAAGGAACGTTATGTAGCAAGACAAAAGCCCAAGAACAATGAAGAGGCTTTTAAGAGGTTATCACTTAAACAGAAACATCCAGTTACTCACAATTAAACCAATTCCTACATCTTCACAGATGCCAAAAAATCCAAATGTCCCCCCATCTCCGCCCACTGCACTGCCAAAATCAATACAGTAAAAGCTCTTTTATCCAGCACTTCACCAGCCGGCAAGCTCTATAAACTGGCATTTCTGATCTGCACTGAAAGTCCAATTTATAGTGCGGTTGGTGTGGGGCCGGCAGGGGGCTGGGGCGTGGGAGGGACTGTGGGGCACACTCTGGAAGGGAGTTTGGGGCAGGGAGTTGGGGCACAGGGTGCCGGATGGGGGGCACTCACCTCCGGCGGCTCCCCGCAAGCAGCTACCCACCCCAGCTGTTGCTAGCGGAGGCGCGGCCAGACGGCTCTGCAGGCACACTGCCTCTGTCCTCCATCCCCGAGTGCTGACTCCGTGGCTTCCAGTCCATTGACCAGGAACTGCGACCAATGGGAGCTGCAGGGGGCGCCGCCTGCAGACAGAGGTAGTGTGGCACATGCCTGCTTGCAGAGCTGCCTGGCCGCGCCTCCGCCAGGAGCAGCAGGGACGGAGAGCCACTGGCTGTGAGCGCCCCGCCCATGAGGCACCCTGAGGCCTGGCTGCGCCTCCATGT